CCCCCCCCCCCCCCCACCCCAGATACAAGTGAACCCATAAGCTGGTTAACATCAATTTGGTCGCGATGCGCCCGAGGCATGGCTGTGGAATTTTAGGGGACACCGGAGCAAGTTCGGCCCGTTTAAATAAAGTCGTTCCGGACAGCATTACATGTACATTTGTTAAAGAAATATTTGTTATTTTCTGTCAGGTGACCCCTGTATGAACGTGCCCCACTTTCGGGCAAGTTCCGACATGCAGTGTGGGCCACGGTGTGGGATTTAGCGTTATGACGTCATAATGCATACAACGTCTGATTTTCACGTCGATTTCACGAGTTTCTGAGGCAGGTAATCCAGTCCATTTCATGTTTTGCCAGGGCCCAACCTGCCCTGGTATCATGGGCCGAACCTGTCCCTATTTGATATAATTCAAAGTTCGTATATTACAATAAATACGTAAGTCAATGCGTTAGGCTATTATGCATATTATAATGTGAATGTCAGTACGTGTGTCACAGTTACACGTAAAACATTTATAAATAGGCTTACGTTAGCAATACTAGGTTTAACGTTACAGAAAGTTCGCCGTGAAATCTGAGGGGGAAAGGTGAGCTCATGATTTCTTTAGCAATTCAATAATTGAGAGTACCTCGCCATTTTCCCCCGGATGCATGTCCTGCACACTCGACTGAACTGGCGAAAACACATTATTTTAAAGAAAATTCTCTGGATCCGCCACTGCGAGTGGTCGAAGATCAATTTTATTTAAAGTCGGTGGACATTCTAAAAACAAATAACATAAGCTCTATAGAGCTTTTCACCGACATGTTGTATGCATACAAAAACATTCATACTTGGACAAGTTTGACATATTAAAACTTAGGCAATACAAATAGTATAATCAGAGACGTATAATACACTGGTATAATAGATTATAGATAAAACACATCAGAGTATTTTAAAACACATCAGATTTCATATACAGTCAATGAATTAGCCGCACTTATCTGGTAAAATACATTTAAAATTGAGACCGGACAGGTGTGTAAAAGTGAAAGTGTGGAGTTTAGGTTTCATGCACTTGCAGGCTGAACATTTACAACTGTGTAGCGTTCCAGGAGGATATTAAAGATTTAAAGTGCGTGAAGTGATTTGTTGTCCTTAATGTGTTGGGTAGATTGTGAAGGATTTTATACTGTTTAATGTAGTGGTTCTAACTTGTGGGATCTGAAACTGTAGCTTTGGGTTATAGGTGTGACAATGTTGTGGAGGCAACACACGCCATAGGTGTGTGGTTTTGTGTCTAATTTTGTATGTTCCTACCGGGATGTGTACATCCCTGGTTCCTATCGCCATTTGTCTCCTTCTTCTGATGTTTAAAGTAGGTATGCACACTGGAAAATCATCAAAGATGACAAATGTTCCCTTTTCATAGAACTTCTGTAATTCTGAATGTTGTGTCCCTACGACCGGGGGCGCAAATGTCTTTTGAGAGCTTTATGCAGCGCTAAATGATAAACGTCAAAACCCAACCACGTGTCGGCTTTCCCGCGAGATGTGTGTTTATATCAGGGAATTGTGGGAAGTTGTACAGTAAAGATGGCCGACTCGTATCGTGATTTGCGGCATAAGTTGCAGTCACCGGACTATCGCTCTGTGGAATATGGCAGGAGAAGAAGAGAATCTGATTCTAGGCGTAAACACCATGATTCAGAAAAATATCAATCATCTCGGCACAGACACGATAAAACCGAAATTCCACGACAGGAGGAATTGCGTAAAGTAAATGCTGGCATCCAGCAACGTAGCTTGTTTTCGTCGGAGGAATGCAAAGCTATAGAGGGGAAAATAGACTCTGTTGTGAAACATGCCAGGCTTGGTGATTACAAAGCCCATACGGTTGATAGAGCACCATTAAGAAATAAATATTTCTTCGGGGAGGGATATACATATGGGTCACAACTTGCCAAAAAGGGTCCTGGGATGGAAAGATTGTACCCAAAGGGCGAAGTAGACGAAATCCCTGATTGGATTCTAAAACTGGTCGCTAAACCAATTTATGACGCCAAAATAATACCTAATGGTTTTTTCAATAGTGCAGTCATTAATGACTACTTACCTGGAGGATGCATTGTCTCCCACATTGACCCTCCACACATTTTTGACAGACCGATTGTGTCCGTCTCGTTTTTCAGCGACAGTGTTCTCAGCTTCGGATGCAGGTTTTCATTTCGCCCAATACGTGTTTCCAAGCCGGTGTTATGTCTACCTGTGAAAAAGGGCCATGTCACTCTTATTAGGTAATAATCATAATTAGATTAATCTTTCTTTGTAAACAGAAAGCTATCCCACACCACATAACAGCCATGAAAGTATGCAGTGGCGGTCCCCGTATATACCAATATCACTCATATGCATCGCATGCAAACTCCTAGAACATATCACAAGTGCAATCATAAAACACTAAGAAGACAATAAAATAATGCAATACCTTCAACATGGCTTCTGTGTTTCATGATTTTGCGAAACAACTTATTACATTCATACAAGACCTGAGCTTAGAACCATTACTACAACAGACATACATTATCATAATGGTATTTGCCAAAGCCTTTGACAATGTCCAACAAAAATACTTGCAGTACAAACTGAAATATCACAGCATCACCGGAACCACACTATTGAACATGGATCACAGACTTTCTATCACAATGCACCCAAACAGTAGTGCTTGAGGGCAAACACTCACCCAGTAAAGTCAGCGAGTGCCTCAAGGAAACTGTTTGGGACCAGTCCTCTTCCTTATATACATTCAAGACTTCCTTATATACATTCAAGACTTCCTTATATACATTCAAGACCTCCCCATATACATACCACACAATACACTTTTTGCAGATTTCAGCATACTCTACAAAACCAATCAATAATAAAGACAATACAATAAACCACAACAAGATTTAGATGCAGCTATCAAATGGGAAGAGGACTGGCTCATGATATCCCACCCAGACAAATGCACCATACTCACAATATCACCAAAACCCACACAATTTAAACACCAATACACACTCCATGACCAAACACTAGAAGCAGTAACATCAAACAAATATCTAGGTTTCACACTCTAAAACAACTTAAAATGGGACAAACACAACAACACCACATCAATTGAAATTAATTACTGGGTTTTGAGAAACACAACCTAAAAAAAATTCACCACACATAAAAAAACCTGCATATAAGGCTATCATAGGTAAAATTACTTAAAATTTCCTGAAGTAACATAAGTGATAAGATTTGAATGTCTATGCATATATTCTAGAAAGTTGTTGTCAGTGTTCAACACTTTCAAAATGAGTAAAAGCACAGGAAACTTGAATCAATCCTAGTCTGTTGTCTTAACCTATTTGTTTCAATGTTTCATATTTTGATTTGTAGTGAGTATGCAGCTGATCACATAACACATTGTATCCGGCCACAAGATATTGTTGAGAGAAGAGCTGTTATAATTTTAAGGCGGTGAGTATTATAATCCTTTATTCAAGTATATTTAATTGGTTTTTACTTGTTGAACGAATCACATTATCTGCTTATTAGTGATTTTAATCATGAAGCTGAAGGGATTTTTTTTTATTTATAAATTCCACATTTCATTTCAGAGTTTTTCCTGATGCACCACGCCTGGAACCGGCAAGCTCAGTGGAACGGCCGCTCTCTCGCAAACGTCGTAGAGAGTCTACATCATCATCTGCCTCTACTTCGGAAGCAGAGTCTCCAAGTGGCTCGGAGGAATTGCAAGAAAACAACACAAAGGAAAATGAGGAAGGGGAGAAGAAATCTCCAACACAAACCTACTATCATAGGGCAACAAAGAACTCGACTCGAGTGTACAGACATCATCACTTCAGCAATAGCGAGAGCGAGCATTCAGACACAGAAAATGGGGACAATAAGTCTCCTGTTAAGAAATCTAAGCATAAGCATAAGGTGAAGAAGAAGAAAAGTCGTCGAGAGGTGAAGACGTCAAAACGAAGCAAGAGATCATGAACAGCGGAATAGAAATGCCTTGATATGTACAGAGTGATGATATTTACTGATATGAAGAGCTAAGGTTTATTTGCGATGTGCCAATGATAAGGGATGCAAAGTTTTATGAATATTACCCGGACAAAGATTAATTTGAAATATGACTGCATATTATATTAACATTAAAACATAAATCCATGTATTTTAGTATCTACATTGTAAAACATTTGATACAAAAATTCTTTTGGTAAAATATTTTGTTCTGTTTTTATGGCTTGGTGCTGGTAGGGTAAATGTAATGTTGGACTGTTAATTGTTGTATTTGGAAGAATGACACACTAACTTAGAGTAGTATTCTTGTTTTCATTCCTTTTGTGACATAACAAAAGTGTAGTCACAACTTAATGATGTTAATTCCATTAACAGGTCAAATGTACTTGATCTCAAATAGGCCAGTGATAAGTTTAAAATTGTACATGGTAAATTCTTATTATATTGATTTTACTGTTTCTTTTAATAAGTATAGGAAAGGAAACAAATCCACAAGTTAAAGTTCCTTCACTGTGTAACTTAGACTCGGTAACTTGATGTTTACATTGTCTTAATTATAAGGGCAATTGAGATATCTCTTTTCTTTGAATTTCTTGAAAAAAATCTGTTTGTAAAGTAGTAAAATAGTACTGTACTTTTCAACATTACAAATAAATTACTCGTATGTTACCTCTGTTCACATACCACCTTTTTAAAAATGTGTAAATGATGTGGATGTCTGGTAACAATTCCCAATGGCATGTTTTAGGAACTCTCCTGTAAAAAACCCTTATAAAAGTTATACCAGTTCCTGTTTAATTCAGCTCCGCATTATCTAATTTAGTTGCAGAGGGAATAGGGTGTTTTGCTTTTAGAAATTTACATGTGTTCACCCCTTGTCATTGTTCTGTCTACATCATTTCCTGACTAATGATCATGAAACTTCAAACACGTGTTAGGTATGATAATGCCTCAAACATGTCAATGTTTCAGGGTGTTGAGGTCAGGGTCACTTGCTTTTTATACGCCCGTCGAAGACGGGGACGTATTATGTTATCACGTGAGTGGGCGGGCGGGCAAACGATGTCCGCTCGATATCTCGAGTAATTATTAACGGATTAACTTCAAACTTCACAACAAGGTTAATTACCATGAATCCTCGGACAAGTTCGATAACCGTCATTATCCGACCATAATTTGTGGAGTTATGCCCCTTTATGGACTTGCCGAAACAGTGTCCGCTCGATATCTCGAGTAATTATTAACGCATTAACTTCAAACTTCACAACAAGGTTAATTACCATGAAACTTGGACAAGTTCGATAACCGCCCTTATCCGACCATAATTTGTGGAGTTATGCCCCTTTATGGACTTGCCGAAACAGTGTCCGCTCGATATCTCGAGTAATTATTAACGGATTAACTTCAAACTTCACAACAAGGTTAATTACCATGAAACCACGGACAAGTTTGATAACCGCCATTATCCGACCGTAATTACTGGAGTTATTACCCTTGGTTTCATTAATGCGATGCATGCGTTCCATGATGTTGTATTGCACTCATTGATCTACCAGTTATGTTGAATGATTTCTCTTTTAATATCAATTACTCACAAATACTTCATATATTTCAATCATACAAACAACTGCTCATTCAATGTGTGACGGGCGTATTATATACCGCTCGCGGTAACCTTGTTCCAGATATCTTTGTCATTGCTTTAGAATTTCATTTCCCATCTTACTATTGCATTTGTTAAAAAAGAAAAGAATCTGTACAAGTATTAGGATGCATATATATAATCTCAGTATTGCCTTTTCAGCCCATAATAGTATCTATACTTAACAATTGTTTCATGTCTTTCAGTAAAGGTATAATAGTGCAGGGCCTGTATGTCACTGTGTTCCTATTTTTTTATTAAAAAGGCACAAAAATATTTTATACAACTGTTAAAAAACCTCTTCGGACCATGATTTCAAAGCAGTTGTGAGAAAAAGGCTGATATGTCTAAATTTAGATAATAAAGATTAAACCTGGAATTTTCCAACATAAATGAAAGATTTAAATTTATAAACAGAACAGTTGCACCACATGATCAGCAAAAGCCCTTCATGCAAAGTTTGTAGACAATTATTTCCCTTATTTATACTTTGAATTAATATTAATGTTTAAGGGGCAGGGAATTTTGCCATAGCCAGCATGCATTTGACAAAATGGTTTTAAGACGGGTCATGTTCTCTTTAATACTTGGGACATGAGCAGTTATGGAACATACGTATATGTAGCAATTTGAACCCTGCATTACTGGTAGTTTAAGGATATGTAGATTTGATTTGTTTTACATCTTATATGTTTCTGGAAGTTATTATAGGGTCTGTAAGTTTACCCCATTAATACACGTATTTCTAAAACTTACTGATGTAATACGATGTATGATTTTAAAGATCTTGAAACTGAGGAAGGTAAAAATTTACCCCATTTATATAATAATACACATACTTCCTAATGTTTGTTACATCCAGATTCTATCTTTGTGTGCACTATGTCATTGTTGGACAGGCCTAAAACAGCTGTCAAATTGATACACAGCAGACAATAGAATGTGAGGATTGGTGCTGATAGACTGATGTACTAGTCTACTTGTTTAAAATGATTGTTTTCATATTTTTTTACAAAAGTTAAGAAAAAGTTTGCAGTAATTTTTGATAGTTTGGTTTATAGGAAAGGAGACAAAAAACCTTTTGTGAGTTTGGTTTATAGGAAAGGAGACAAAAAAACCTTTGTGAGTTTGGTTTATGGGAGGGGAGACAATTCAGATCACAACAGTTTGAAAAATGAAAATTTTGAAAATAAAGTTTCAGAACGCCATTAATGCTACTGTGAATAGATGTTTTTCAGCCAAATTGTTCTAATGATTCATCAACCCCAGAACTTTTATCAAAACAAGAAATCTAAGGTCAAACAAATCAGAATTAATAATAAAATCTGTGTATATAAATTAATTTATCTGGACTATTATTAGGTATTTCATTATTTGTCAAATTCAATTTAACCCTGGACAGCCCTGTAACATGATGTATCATTTTGATAATTTTTTCAGTGGCAAGTCTGGGTTCATTCTTTTGTGAAAATAAATTTGCTTCTTTCCATTTTATTTCAGTTATCAAAAGCTAGTGTTGCATCAAGTTTTATAGTCCAGAGATCTAGAAGGACACTTAAGAATGTTAATCATTGGACATTATTAACTAAGTATTTAGAGGAATGATATTTCTACTGAAATTAATAGTTGCTGTGTTATTAGTACTTATTTAAACGATCAAGATATATAGTAGTGGAATGATATTATTTTGCTGAAAGCTATAGTTGCTGTGGTGTTCTCATTTACACCAACAATTTATATGATTAATTCACCAGTCTTTTCCCCATTTGAGGGCCATATGTAATGATGATTTAGTTGGTGATGTTGTTAATTACATTTTCCATCATTTCTCTGATCCAGATCTGTTCTTTACAAATTATAAATCTAGACCCTCAATTAACTGGACCACTTGGTATTATAGACCACGATTACCTAACTTCTCTGTTTTATGGTTCCTGTATGATATTGTACATTAGTAATATGATTTTGATTGTTTGCCTCTTGTTAGTTTAACCCTTTCACCCCTATGTAACTTTAGTAGACTCTACCATACATTGATATGGATGAGTCCATTATGGTCTACAGTGTTGAAAGGGTTAAAGGAAAACTGTCATGTAGGGGATTACTGGGAGCCAGTGTAATATGTACACAGCTGGGAAAAATGTGAAAGTCAGCACTAGCTCCTCCTCTAGCGGTAATTCTATACTTAATTGTCGGTTAAAAAATACCTGTCAAAATTACACTATTCCTACAACTCTTAGAGTGTAATCTAAGTCAGTGGATTGTTACCATTCTCCTTGTTTTGATAAATATACATCGGGGCATTTTCTGTTGTAATGATAATGTTGTTTGTATGTATGTGATGACAGAGGAAACTAATCAGTATCTTCATTCCCTACGGTACCTACTCTAGATTTTAATGTCTAACCTAGTCATTATTTTTTACTAATGTTAAATCAGCACTGTTGAAAGTCTTGAAACATTTCTAGATAATCTTTTTAAAACAATTTGTAATTAAAAAGTTGTGGTTATAAACCCATTCTCATTTTTAGAGCTAAATCTTTCTAGATGTGCCATACCCTATTCAATCTGCAAGTGCCTAACAAGTCCTGATTTCAAAAGGAGTCTTCATTCATGTTATCAAATGAAAAAAAGGTACAACATCTGTTTTTTATTGGGTTTTTTTGTTGCCATATTTTTTAAACTTCTGTATTACTGTCAAAATTAGTTAATTGTGATTTCTCAACTGTGTGATAAAAATTGTTGCTATGTTGAGTTAAAATATGTTTTTAGGTCACCCGAGCTTTAGCTCAAGTGACCTATTGCTATCCATCTTTGTCCGTCGTCCATTAACATTTTACATTTTCAACTTAAGCTGAAATACTGTCAAAGGGATTTCATTGATACTTCATGGGAAGGTTACTGACAACTCCCTGACCAAGTGTAGTTATAGGAACTCGGCCTAGGAATGATCAACTCATGGTACTGACAGCTCCCTGACCAAGTGTAGTTATAGGAACTCGGCCTAGGAATGATCAACTCATGGTACTGACAGCTCCCTGACCAAGTGTAGTTATAGGAACTCGGCCTAGGAATGATCAACTCATGGTACTGACAACTCCCTGACCATGTGTAGTTATAGGAACTCGGTCTAGGAATGATCAACGCATGGTACTGACAACTCCCTGACCAAGTGTAGTTATAGGAACTCGGTCCAGGAATGATCAACTCATGGTACTGACAGCTCCCTGACCAAGTGTAGTTATAGGAACTCGGTCTAGGAATGATCAACTCATGGTACTGACAAACTTTACTGAACATTATACTTAACTTTTTTTACTCAAATTTTGGTAGGGATGATTGAAATCATTATCTCCACTTCATATTTCAACAACAAGAATTCATACAGTAGGACTCCGGTGACCGTTAAGGCCCATAGGCCTCTTGTTTAGTTTAACTATTTCTTCGTGTACTGTATTGTTCTAATTGTAGGTTATAAGTTTCTCTGATTTCATTACACCACACAACATTACAAATTCGGGAAGGGTAACCAATAACCTACTAGCTTCTATTGATGTTAATTACAAAACTGGGGATACTTCAGCCTCTGTTGGTATGGAAATGTTTAGATTTTCCCATTAGACTCTGACACTTCCCTGTCATGATAAAAGTATAAAATATGACTTTGACCTTTACATACAAAAAATCCCAACCTGTATTAATTTAAATACCAAAGTAAATATGCGTGTACTTATTTTCAGTTAATCAGATTTGCTCAAGTTGGTTGCCAGTAAAATGTAAAGCCTAGTAAAATCTTTTCTGGACTTCTAGAAAGCACAAATGTGATAAACATATCTGTTCAATTCTAATCATGTGTAACCGTCATAACTGGTAACTTTAACTATATGGTTCACATAGAGATGGATGGTGGACCTTTGTGTATGTTGGACAATAGGAATGAGGAAGTGGAATCAAAGGTTTGGTGAATTGTGTTTATTCTTTTATGCATTTCTAAGAAAATATATTGTGGCATTTTTTAACTGCTTTCATTGAAATGCTCCAATAAAGACTAAGCCATTGTACACTAAGATTTTGGCTGCATTTCCACACCAGCTAGTTCTATATTACAAGTCTAGGAGGTAAGGAACATGTTTTTATCTTCAGAAACTGAAGAAAACAGTTTGGAGGCATAACATGTTAGCTATAAAATGAGACGGTGAGGAAGCTACAGGAATGTTTTGTTTTACTACCAAGAAGTGGGAGTTATTGTTTTGTATTTAGCACATGGGAGATAACATACTTGTTGAGTGTTTTCTTTTTTATTGCTAGTAGAATTGTTAATTAGAAATAAAAAGTTATATTAAATTTAATTTTATTTAAATGTTTATGAAGTTGCATGTGTTGAAGAATATGTTTATGATATTTTTTGT